GAACCAATCACCGTGGGACAGGGAGATGAAATAATATGATTGGCCAAGCCTGGAATAAGGTGTAGCAAGTGGGGACTGGAGGGGGCGGGGGAAAGACCACAGACACCGAGATTGACAGCTCCACCAGGACCCCATGGAGTAGGGGATGCTGGCTGATTGAAACAGCTGACGTCACAGCTCCCACAGAGAGCCACAGCTGATGTTGGAGATGAGAAGGTTGTGGGGTGCAGAGTGGATTGAGTAGTAGGAGAGAGTAGGGATAGGCAGAGAGGCCTTACTTTTCTAAATCAGGCTACACTGGACTGGACACTGGAATTATAGAGAAATTTGTTGTTGGGTTGTGGGTGAGTGGACAGATGTGGGAAGAATGAAAACATGAGGCTCACATTAGCCTCCTACAGCAAACACTACATCCAGGCATGAAGTGGTTAAACGTCTCCCACGCTTCCATGGAGGATGATTGAAGATTGCATATGGATAAAAACTGGTGATGGGAATGCTGTAATTTTCTCAGGTAAATTGTGAAGTTGAACGCAATTAGAAAAACATCCCCAAAATAGCTTTGGTTTGGTTGGCATGTGACCAAACCCTGAACAGCTTAGATTAGTATAAAAGAGATTCAAATATATGTCTTTTGCATATGCTTAGGAAACTGAGCTGAAGGAAGAGGAAAGCAGCTCATGCCATCTGTTTAGGGAGGTATGCAAGCTTCCGAGGGAGTTTGGAAAGAAAAGGGGCTTTAGTCTTTTAAGACCAGTAGGCAGTGAGAAAGGCACATGCTCAGAGAAACAGAAATGAGGTCAGAACCCAGGACAGACAGACCGGTAAAGCCAGCAGGAGCACCATGACTTCCGCTGTGCACCACACCCAGTTCCTGCCATCAGAACAGTTCCACACACATCTCCTCTAAGAAACCTCCCTGTGTATCACAGCAGTACTGAGCCCTTCCATTCGTGGTAAGGTCATTCATAGGATTCACTGACCTGCACCCAGAGCTTGCCTGTTAGCAGCGAAAGGAAAGGTTTTGATGACATTGAGCCCTAGGACCACGAGTGCTGGAAACCTACTGTGGCTCAATCATCTTTCTCCCCTGTGAGGTTCACGAGCACGTGATACATTCAAGAGCCATCAACAGAGGAGAAATCAAAATACTCCTTTATTTTCCCATGAACAGATGCTCAATTTCTTAGTGCAGAGCTCTCTTGTAAAAACAAGGTCAGAGCAAGCATCCGACAGTAGAGGCCTCCCCGAGCCTCTCCCTCCCCACTACACACTGAAATCTTCTCACCCTCTGTCTTGCCACACTAGATCAGAAATGGAAGCAATAAAAAGTATGCTCACCTATGCATTGAAGAAAGAGAAAACAAGATGACCAGATCCCAAGAGGCGGCCTTGGCTCAGCGTACCTATTCCTGTTGCATGAAATAGAAGAAAAAGCTACACAGAGGTTCCTAACCCTGCCCTTGTTAAATATGGCCCAGTTAATTTCCTGGAATCTGACCGAGCTAATGAACACGTCTTCTCTGGGAGAAGGCAAAGTCTGGAGAGAAGGGGAGACATGAAACTACCCTTTCCTCTAAATACTTGCTTCTCAAAATATGGGCCCTGGACCAGCAGCAGCAGCATCACCTAGCAGCTTGTTAGAAATGCACAATCCTGGACCCCACCCTAGATAAAGGGAATCTGGCAGTTGCATTGTAATAAAATCTCCAAGGGATTCATATACACATTAAAGTCTGAGAAATACTGAGTTTCCGAATCCGTGCCCAAATTGTCGTTTTGATTTTTGCTCGCTTCCAAAAATAGGGCTCTGCATATGGTCAATAGTTAATGAAAGGATGTTTGAGAAATTCTCTTTGGCACCTATTTAATTCCATGTAAAGGGAGACCATTTCTGAGAAACCAGCACCCATTCACCAATGAGTGTCTTAGAGACAGAAGCACACTGAAAACAACCAAACAAAACAGTCCTAGACACACACGCACAGCTCCACTGCATAGGACAGATGGACATAGTAAATTTCCTCTCACTTCACCCCCCCCATAATTTTCTCTCCTTTCCTCACTCGCACTCTCCTTCATCCAAGCTACTATGAAGCTTTTGTGTTGGGCTGACATCACTCACAGGCTAGTACCCCCCTGCATCACGTGTCTCTTGCAGCCCTGTCCTCAGACCCAAAATCTAAGAAGGAGACAATGCACCACTAAGCCAGGACACCGTAGGCTAACAAAAAGCAATTTGTCATATCGTATGTCTCCCCTTTAAACAGTTCTGATTGTCATGACCCAATTCATACCTTATCTCCAACAGTAGCAAAATCCCAGGCCTAGATCTTCATCCAACATGTGCCTGAGTATGAAATTAACGATAAAAACTCAGAGCACTCGGGGCGCCTGGGTGGCTCAGTGGGTTAAAGCCTCTGCCTTCAGCTCAGGTCATGATCCCAGGGTCCTGGGATCGAGCCCCACATCGGGCTCTCTGCTGAGCGGGGAGCCTGCTTCCCCCCCCTTCTCTCTACTTACTTGTGATCTCTGTCAAATAAATAAATAAAATCTTTAAAAAAAAAAAAAAAACAACTCAGAGCGCTCAACCCCAATTTCTCCTCTTGGCTCCACCTGATATAATCCCTTATAGGAAAAAGGGCCAGGGTTAACAAGCGCCTGCCATAATAGTATTAGGGGATCCAATAGTGACAGGATATAATGAATAATGATTAAATTACCATCTGCTGAGCACTTGTAATGTACTTAACAACAACCTCATGAAGGAAGTAGTATTCCCGTATAATCAGTGAGGGAATTTGAAGTTTTCAGAAATTGAATAACATCCAGGAAGCAGCCCAGATAGATACCCAGCATATCTCTTAAGGACAAAGCCACTCAACCGCGACAATAGTACGATGTTTCACTTGTCAGAAAACATTGCAAACTCCCAGGATGAGTAAAGAATCATTTTCCTTCTCGGGGGCTAATGTGAGGATTAAGCGGGATTAAAGATGTTAAGGCATTTAGAAAAGTAAGATACTGCAACATACAAGGTATCATTTAGTACATTAAGATCATGTCCAAATAAAAGCCTTCCATACTATACAAATGACAACGATACATATGAAAAATGTTCACCCTTATAATTAAAGATACCCCAGTTCATTCACTATCCAGTTCTCATTCATCAAATTAGAAAATACTTTTCAAAGCTTAACCCTCACTGTTGGCAAAGATGTTGTGAAAATACAACATTGCTGGTGGGAGTTCATGTTAGTACAACCTTTCTTAAAAAGCAAATAGATAATATGTTTCAAGACATTTTTAAAAATCGACATAATCTCTTGTAAGGAAAAAAAATTAGGACAAAATTTTAAGTACAAATACAGTTGAGAGCATAGATTATGAAGCCAGATTGCTTGGACTTAAATCCCAGCTCCACTGCTTACCAGCAGTGTGCCCTTGGGAAAGTTTCTGTCACCTGGTGTCCAAATGGGGATAATAATAGCACCTATTTCACTGAGTTGTTATGAGAATTAAATGAATTATTACACATAAAGTACTTAACCCAATGCCTGGCACAAAGAAAGCATGATATATAAGTGGTATCTATTATTTTTATTGTCTTATTTATAGTAATTGGAATCACTGTCTGACTATAGAAAAATGGTTAAGTACACCATGGTACGGACATAAAATGAATATTATGAAGCCACAAAACTTTAAAAGACTATTTAACCTCATGGAATGTAAAGTAAAAAGAGCAGGAAATTGTATCTATCACCCCCATACCATTCATGCTTGATAAAAGGGCACTTTGTACAAATAAGCATGTGTAGAAAACGAGTGGGGACTACATCAAAATATCAGCAAAGAGTATATGTGGGTGAAGGGGTAGGGTTGGGGGTCCCTTCTCTTTCTGGACTTCACAACTCTATGGCAGTGCTTCTCACAGTCTAATATCTTTGCCCCTTAACCCCAGCCCGTTCCCAGCAGACAGCGGACACTCAGGCTGCCTGGAAGAGTGAGTGACGGAATGGAACCTCGGGACGAAGGGCACGGAACTGTCCTGTAAATGGAAACTGGAACGCATGCACCCCCAGCCGGATGACCCTCAGTAACAGGTGTTTTCCATCTCTGACCTCGGTGATTCATTCCGCACAGCTGCCCCCACACAGGGGTGTCCGCGGCTCCTAGAATACAACGCCCCACACGGGCAAGTGCGCAGTGTTCCGGACGCCTGGGCGGCCACACACGGAGACACACCTCGGGGACAACCTGGATCCACAAAAAAGAGGCCCTGCCACCTTAAATAGGTTCTTTGCCTGACTGCAAAGAACAAGAAGCTATGGCTTGTGCCTACGCCCCTTGCTCCCAAACGCACCTTTCTAGTTTTCAAGCAATCTATTGAGGGTGAGTCTGCATGCGTCCGGTCGCTGGCGGACGCCCTCCCTACACACACACACACACACACACACACACGCACGCACACACGCACACCCACACGCACACCCCTTCCCCCACTCGTCTCTTTCAGGCTAGGCGCGTCTCCGAGGGTTGGGTTGAATGGGAAAGAACGGGGCCGTCTTTGTCATTAATCCTCCCCTCCTTCGGGCGAGCCAAGCTTCTTCCGGGTCAGCGACAATCACCGCCACCCCAGTCGGGCCCGCGGTCCCCCATCCCGCTAGCCTCGCGCCCGCGGGGGCCAGGTCGCCACCGCCCGCAGGTTGCGGGAGGGGAGGAGGGCGAGGAGAAGGGCGGGCGGCGCGGGAGAGGGGGAGGGAGGGAGGCGGGGAGGGACGGCAATCCGAGGAGGGGGAGGAGGAGGAGAGAGCAGCCTCCCGCAGCTGGCGAGGAGAATGGGAGTGCGGGGCGCCAGACCGCCGCGGGGTGTCACGGCAGCGGCCGAGCTTGCCGAGCGCGGGGCCGGCGCCCGCCGCTTTTAAACCCGGGCCGGCGCGGCGGAGGCGGCGGCGGCGGGCGGATCGCGGCGCGCGCTGGGCGCCGGGCGGCGGCCGGATGGAGAGGAAGGGCTCGGCGGCCGCGGCCAAGGGGAACCCGAGCCCGCCCGCGGTCGGCGAGGCGCAGCGGCCGCCGCCGCCACTGTGCGTCCCGGGCGGCGGCGGCGGGGTCCCGGCGCGCGGCCAGGCTGGGGCGGCGGCCGAGCCCGCCGAGTTCATCCGGCGGGCGCACGAGTTCAAGAGCCAAGGGGCGCAGTGCTACAAGGACAAGAAATTCCGCGAAGCCATCGGCAAATACCACCGGGCGTTGTTGGAGCTGAAGGGGCTGCTGCCGGCGCCGGGGGAGCAGGAGCGGGACTCGCGCGCGGCCTCCCCGCCCGGGGCCCCCAACCCCGGCCGCCTCTCGGAGGAGCAGAGCAAGACGGTGGAAGCCATCGAGATCGACTGCTACAACAGCCTGGCAGGTGAGCTGCGCCGCGCCGCGCCCGGCCCCTCCGCCCCTGCCCGCCCGGCGCCCGGCGAGGGACCCGGGCCCTCGGGTCCCAGCCGACCGCTGCGGCGCGCCCGCGCTGCCCACTTCCCCGCCGGCACCGTGCTGCCCCAGGAAGGAGGACCCGGGAGGGGGGCGCTTTGGAAAAAGTGACTTTTAGGATTGTACCTCCCCAAACTCGTCCCTTCCCCATGGACACTCCCGAGTCCCTTCCCCCTCGTCCATCGTAAATCTCACCTAAAAATAACTGGACAGACAGAACGAGCCCCGGCTGGCCTGGTGGCGAGTACTGCTGCTACTGCCCACCAGTGGACCTGGGTCCAAACGCGGGAAGTAGCGCCCAGGGTGGGCACCCGCACCCGCCGCATGCCCAGCGGCCGCTCTCCTCAGGTATCACTGGCACCAGAGCTCGCCCTCACCTTGCCCTCAACCGACCGCATCCCCATGGGCAAGGTCCTTCCTGCCCCAAGTTCCCTTGGCCTCGGTAGCAAAGGGCAGTTTGCCACGATGCCTTCGGCATCTTGAGCAAAATGGATTCCAAAATGCCACTTTCTTCTCTCTCCGCTCTGCTGGGGCCCCCGGTTGCCAGGTGAAGGGAGCGAGCTCAAAGGGAAGCTGGTTCATGGTTGGGCTTGAGCTGCGTGCGACATCCTTGCTCCTTCACTGGTCCTCTTCCAGCTGACTGCAGGGCCCGAGGCCAAGGGGGCCCTTCTGTTGGGATGAGAAAGTATATACATTTGGGATGAGAAAGGTACATTCATTCCAGAGTTCCAGAGTTCACTCTGGGGATTTAGGTCACCGTCAGGCATTTAAAAAAAAAATTTTTTTACTTTGCCACAGGAAATCAAAGTCTCTTTAAAAAAAGGAAGAGCGTGGGTCCTTCCAGGGCCTTCCTGTGAGAAGGTGTAGGCGCAATGGCCTTACATTTGGAGAGGCATTCTGTACTCCTCTCACCCCATTTGGTGGGATTTGGGCATGGTCCAATGCCCAATCCAACGGCCAAATAAAAGGCCATTACTCCTAGTCCCTAACCCTTGAAGTTGCCTTAACTAGCTCCGGACAGTTGGAGAAGTGTAGCTTGGGGAGAAGGACTGGGTGTGGCCGCGGAAGGTGAATGTGTTTTGGGCACAGGAAGTTGGGGGATGAAAAAAATATATTTCGATAATTCTGCTGTGTTCCCTTTGAGGTGTCTAGTGCCAGCCTGCCTCTGTGTTCCCATAATGCCATGCCCAGTATCACCTTCAATCAGGCAAAACCCAGCCACTTTATAAACTGTGGTTTACAAATGGAAGGGATTAATAGACTAGTAGTAGTAGCAGTTGTAAAAATGGTGGTGCCCATAGCAGTCCTAGTAGTAATGGCAGTAGGTAAAGTAGTTGTATAGCAGAGATGGGCTATCTCAATCCGTCATCGCCCACAGCTTGGTTCTCTTTATTTCCTGTAAGCCTCTGGCATACTTGCTTCTTCTGCCTGATGAATAGTTAAAGGGTAGAGTGGGCGTGGGTGGAGGAGAGGCCGTCTGGATCACTAATGCGGTGATTTCAGAGTGGTAATAGAGTTTTATATTTAGTCTTATCCACGGGCATTCTAGGGTTGCCTCTCACCCCACGCTTTTGGCCGCTGGCCTGTGGCTAGGACTGCCTATTGCCAACCCGAGAGGTTACATTTCCATGGCGAAACCAAAGATGTGTCCTTGGGCAGGCAAGCCCAGCCCGGGCGGGGCTGAGATCTCGCCAGCTCCTTCACCCCTACCCTCACCACGCAGGCAACTTGGGAAAACTTCAGCTGTGAGAGAATGGAGAGTGGCAATCGCTAGCGGATGGATTTCCCCTCTGCTGCCTTCTCCAGCCGCTCGCCCCTTCTTCGTATTAATAATGTATTGTGTGCACTGTGCTAGTCACCCTAGTGCAATGTGCTTTTTAACCTTTAAAACAACTTGCTGAAAGACTGCAGAGCGAAAAAACAAAAACAAAACCTGAGGTTCCAGAGCCACCCAACTCCAAATCAATGATCAATGTTCTCGCCATCATACCTTGATGTGCAAATTCAGTGTCTTCTAGGCATCTGGCTCCCTGAATCCAGTCTTAGGTGGGCTTCTGTTTGGAGTTCTGAGCCCTGGGAACCAGGAGAAAGAAACACAGGACCTAATTCAAAACCCTGATAGGGCTCTTCCTAAACATTTTCAAGTTTCAATGAAAGAGAAAAGAAGAGTAATTACAAGCTGAGCAGTCATGTCAAAGCCAAAATCTGTATCCTGGATAGAAAATTCAATTGGGAGATAGGATCCTGGAAGTCACCTAGAAAATAAGTAGAAGCCCAATGTTGGTTTCCTTTGGAATAATGCATAAAATCTCTTACTACTGTCTGAGAAGTCCTAGCTGATAGGAAGGTATCCTTTCTTGTTGGACAGCACACGTGATACATATCTTTAAAGTATATTTTCTTTTAGAAAATATCAAAAAGTTTAAAGGAGAAAATGCAAAATTACTCTTAACCCTGCCACCAAAAGACGCTCCTCGTGATATATTTCCTCCCTGTATTTTTCTCTAGACATTCATGTGAACTGTTTTCAAAGCCAGGACCTTCTGTATCTGCTTTTATTCCCAGTTACCATTATTATCAGAAGCATTTTTACATTTCTTTAAATGTGAAGATTATTTGAAGTGGCAACATACAATTTTTAGCGTTTACAATGACCATTTGATGGAAAGGGAAGAAAAGATCACTGCTACTGTTGACAGAGCCAGAACAGTGCCATGAAGCCCATAAGATACCCTGTCCCCGCTCGTGCCTGCTGATAGGAAGGAGACAGCAGCTGCACATTCTTTCTGGCAGAAAGGCAACTGACCCTTCCATCCGGACCCTTCCATCAGTGCCGACTGAGCAGCCCAGCCAGCTCTGGGTGGGAGCAGTCTGAAGACTTTTGTGCTCTCAAAGATCTGTCCTTCTACACAGCTGTCCATAGAGGGAGACATTTGGGGTTTGGAAGGAACTTGGACCAGCCCAGAAGTACCAGGAGGATTAGGCTATGTTGCTAAGGGCATCTCAGCACCCAACAAAAGGCTATTGGGAGGCTTCTGGAAAAAACCTAGGTCTGGTTGGACCCTGATACTCTTCAAGAAAGGCTCCAAGAGAATAGCAAGAGGGTGGTGGGGATGTGCAATGTACTAAGAGATGTTCGTCTAAAAATCCATTTGGATGACTTGAGGGGGTCACGTGAAGGATGTGCAGACAGTTGTCAGAGTGCCTGTGGTTGTGGTCTGTTCTGGTTTGGAGTTCCTCCTGATTAGGAGGGATCTATCTGACCAGTACTGCAAGACCCCTGGACTTGATTTTACCCGTCTTATTCTTTATGGAATTAAAAAAAAAAAAAAAAAAAGATGGGAAGTATCCCGTTCTTTCAGAATTTTGAATGACATTGATACAGTGATCGAAAAGATATTCTGACCTAACTAGGGCAATGTAGGACTCTACTCCTTGCCAAAGCTACAAAGGAAGCGCGTGTTGGCCTGTTAATCGACTCCTATTGACCTTGAACAAGACACAGGACTCCCCTGGGGCCCTGGAATGTTTTGTGCAGAGTTTCTTGAAAGACAGAGCCTTTTGCTCCCCATGGTTCCCATGGGGCTGTGGTGGCCCCAGCTGGGTGTGATCAAAAGATTACAACATGTAATGACTTTGTTGGTATTTTCGAATGACATTCAAGACTCAAATGCCCGCAGTGTAGATGAGTGCCTACAGGCCGTGGCATTGGATCTAGATGAGAGTCAGCTTGTGCCTCTATCCCTGGCAAACCCTGTGACTTTGGTTAAGCCCCTACCATGTCATTTTGCCCATTTTCCCATCCAATTACAGCTACGTTTAAGAGATTTTTTTGTTGTTTATTTTACCAAAGGGACAGATAGTACCCACTGATCCTATATGAAGCCCCAGGACAAGGGTATGGCAAGGCCTAGAGAGGTCACACTGGGAAAAGGCCTGGGATGGACATGTCTTAAAGCCATGGGACCAGGGCTGGCCACATAATTTGTGCAGCCCAGTGCAAAATGAAAATGGGGAGCTCCTTATTCAAAAAATGTGTGTGGGATGGGGAGAGGTATCAAGGTGTTGAAAGATAAAGCTTTTCTCCTTTCTTTCATGACCTTTCTCCCTCTCGATTTGACATGGTGCTTTTATTTGCTATTTAATGTCATTATAAGAAAATTAAAATTTTAAATTATTGTCATGAATTTTACTGTTCACCTTTATATTGTGCAAAGCTAGTTTTAAATGGAAACGTGAAAGGACTTACCTTTTATGTGCAATCACATAAATTACACAATTCACATCTTGTACCTTATACATACATATGTGGTCTATTCTTCCTAGAGCAGTGGAAATGCTGACAAAAACAAACTCAACTATTTTTATTTCATTTCTTTACATGCATTCTTTATGGGGCACTTTCCACCAAGTTTGCCTTTCTACTGAGTAAGGAAAGGAAAAGGCACTATTCCCTACTCTTACCCCACTCTCTCCTTTTATGTCATCATTTTCAGCATAAGCAGTTGGCTAGTGCAGGGTAGAAACATAAGTAGGAGAGGATATGATGGGGCTTTCGGTCATCTGTGCTTCTTACCGCTTTCTTTCTGTATTTGAAGCAATTTCTGGGTTGAATGGAAAGCATGCCTCTTGGGGCTGTCAGCATGTCTGCCTGCTTACTTAGTCACAGACCTGACAGTCTTACCTCGTACTCAAGCTGGGTCCTGCTGAATTCTCACGCATTGTGGGTCCACTGGAATTCTGTGCTCATGGAGCACCCTGAGTGCTACATGCAAGTGGGGTTGCAAAGAATGGTTGTGCCTCTCTCTTCTGCTCATGTCCGTGCACCATCATCCCATCAAACTTCACTTACAAAACACAGCTCCAAAGACAAAATTGTTAGGAAGTTCAAGGAAGCAATAACAGAGCATTAAACCAAATACAGGGAACTTC